TGATTCAATATAGTCTTTTCACTTCATGTCAACTGAGAACATTAGCCCAAGAAGGTGCAATGATACTCTCCTGGAGGTTAGCATCAGCCATACTAATGGAAGGCAAAGAGAGTTCTTTCAGATGATTAATACAGAGCAGTTTAGTTTTGGAAGCGTTAAAATTAACAAGCCATCCTTTGCCCCAGTTAACAACAGGATGAATGTAGTTTTGAATATCAGCTGCCATTTTGACCTTATTAAACTGATCAGACTTACTGTTAAGACAGGAGTAAATGGTTGTGTTCTCAGCGTTGATAACAAGTTGAGAGCTGATGCCATTGAGAAGGTCATTAATGAAAATCAAAAACAATGTAGCACCAAGGATGGTGTCCTGGGCGAGGGGGACATGTAAATTAGTACGAAAGGAACTGGAAGAGTGGCCATTCAGGATTACTTTCATTTCATGATTCGATAGGAAAAATTGGATCAGTTCAAAAATTTCTCCAGTGGCACTAATTTTTTAGTCTGTGAGAAGAAGACCTGCATGTCAAACCCTGTCATAAGCTTTTGTGATGTCCAAAGCTACAGCCCAAGATTCACCATTTTTATCTAGATCAACATTTGACTTGGAGAAATGAAAGCCATATTGCTGGTCTGGTTTGTTTTATGGCATGTCAACCTCCATGGGTTATTGTGATTTTCCAAGCATAGCTTAGATGTGGCACAAGGCCAAAAGTAAGGGGCACCCAGTGAGGATTGAACTCACTACTCAGTTGTAATTGTTCTAGCGAGACAAGCTTGCTAACCATTACACCACCTCGAGGTGCTGAATTGATTTTCTAAGCATAGCTTAGATGTGGCACAAGGCCAAAAGTATGGGGCACCCAGTGAGGAATGAACTCACTATTCAGTCATAACTGTTTTAGCAAGACAAACTTGCTAACCATTAAACCATGCTGAGGGACCCCACCTCCATGGGTTATTTAATGCTAACAAGATTTTTATTGCTAGTAATATTTTTTTTTTTAAAATGTATTGCTGGTAATATTTTTACAAAAAAACGTATTGCAATATTGCAAAAAGAGATAATTAAAATTTTAATAAATCCCAAACAAGAAAGTGAATTCATACATTTTCTTTATTCTTGAGAATTAACAACAAAGATGTTAAACACTATTTATTTATTGGATTGCTTATTTATAAGATTATAAAAATATGGAAACCAACTAAAATGAAGTATTTATTATTTACCATTTTATAAAGAAATAAATATGAAAAGAAATTTTTTTCATTCATAAACTTTATTCAATGACACAGCAGATTTGAACTAGCTGTCTGGGCTGGCTGTTTGGCTTTTTTGTGAGGGATAAAGCTTTCAATACCAAATAGAATCCACTCAGAAATGAGGGAGCCTGTTCTGGAAGGTCCATATTTGAAGCGAACTGAGAGAGGTTCTTTTGGAATTTAAGATCTAAAATTGTCCCAATCAGCTTTGTTATATAAATAGAGACGGTCTTTGATTTTGCATCGATCTTAAAGATCAAAGAATAGGCTGAGGTGCCCAAGGGAGGCAACACCTCTGTGGAACATTGATCGAAGCAGGAGGCCCAGATGAGTAAGCTGATCTACAATGTAGGTCAGCTTGTGGGATACGGAGAAATCATAATAGTATTTTCCCTCTTTCTGTCAGTTCTGTTTAAGTGGAATAGCCACTCCTTGTAGTGAATGTTGAAATTGTTGTAGCCAAGGGATGAGTAGAGATGATATCATCAATCTTCTCCACTATTCTGTCAACTATTGCAATACCATAATTCTGAGGGTGATAAATAATGAAGACAAAGGACCTTCTATGAACAAGTGTCACCCAAAATGCGTTTGGTTTCTTTTACAGCATATCAACCTCAATGGGTTATTTAATGCCAACAACATTTTTAATGCTAGTAATATTTTTTTCTAAAAATGTATTGCTGGTAATATCTTTTCCTCAAAAATGTATTACTGGCAATATTTATTTTCTTCAAAAATGTATTGCTGATAATAATTTCTTCTCAAAAAATTTATTACTGGTATTAAAATCTATTTTTACATTGTCAGAGTGCTTTGACCCCCATTTGGTGGCTAACTATTTGCCCATAGTTGGGACCCTAACAGGTGCTACCACCCTAGATCAATTTGGAATTGCAATTAAGAGGTGGTTCCACTCTCCTCAAAACCTCCTGATGAAAGGCCTTGCAGTTGGACATAGTTTATCGTCATACCCAGGACGGCACAAAATGGGAAGTCAGGATTCTCCTTTTGGGCCTGTGTTAGCAATATTGAATGAATGAACAAATGGTAGTTGTATAAACATACAAAATGGATTCAGGCAAGTAGAATTATCTGCTATGGCACAGCAAATCAGCTGTCCCAGCAGTAAACCTACAATTGATTCAATATAATCATTACACTTCATATCAATAGAAAACATAGGACTAAGAAGGTGTAATGAATTACATTCCTGGAGGTTAGCATTAGCCATATAGATGTAAAGCAAAAATGGTTCTCTAACAGAAAGCAGCTTCATTTTGAAGGTATCAATGTTTACAAGCCCTTTCTTGCCCCAGTTAACAACTGATAATGAGAAAGTCTTTAATGAAATCAACTAATTTGCACTCTGAAAACTTTTTGGTGTTTTATGTTTCAGGTAGTAAACATTAAACTTAAGGTCACCAATGTAATATCAGGATAATGGAAACTTTCCTTATAAACTTTGGAGAATTAATGATAATTGATGAACGGTAAGAGGATTAGGCAGATTAAAATAATCTGATTAATTAATAATGTCTGATTTTATTAGCAGTTTTTCCTTTAAAGAGGAAACAACGATCATCGTGTAATAAAAAAACAAAATGGGAAAGATCAGTTTTAGTGCAAATGTTCGCAACTTGTTCAAACTTCTTATGCGAATAGGTTTGTCGTTATTAATAATGGGTAAAATTTTTTTTCAGATAGAGCATATCTGTAAAAGAACAATATAGAAAAATACAAAAGGAGAACTTAGCCGACGTGTTTCGTCTTCTGAGGAACTTTATCAAAGCAAATGTAAGGATTTTATTTTGTGACAAGTATTTATATACGAGAGCAAAAATTTTATTGGTTTTTCAAAATTTTGTTACAGCAGGGGTGTTCGTGAATATTCACCTGGTTAGCAGAAAAGTCAGGCAATTTCATGGACGTGAGGTGACACAGTTCAATGCCTAATAAATGAAAGTAAGTAATAACATACATACATACATACATACATATATATATATATATATATATATATATATATAATACATCCTTCTTTTTAAGGAAAATATTATTACAATTAGAAAGAGAAAGAGGGAGTAACCTTTCAAACAAGGATATGCAAATGAATGACAACACAGGGAATGAGGAGGATAGTGAATAGACAAACATTAGAAGTTGTGGAGTGTCATGATCACCCAAGTATTGAAAGTACACAGTACATTAGAAAAGTTAAGACTATATAGGAATTATGAACAACATTTTAATTTGTATTAAAGTCTACAGTCAACCATTATCTACTTTCAACAATCTAATTCAGTAACAGTCTAGCTGGAGTGGTTCTTGGGCCATGTATTGGAGAAACAACATTAACGTAAAGGTGAGAAGAAGAATAGATTTTTATCTGAAACATGAAGACCCAAGTCTTGAATGTATATGGTATATAAAAAATGTTAAATGACTATATAGTGATTGTAAACAACATTTTAATGCAATTCCTATCAAGGAATTGTATTAAAGTATAGAGTCAACAATTATTTACTTTCAACAATCTCATTCAGTAACATGTTACCTTGTGTGGCTCTTGGGCCTTGTACTGGAAGAATAGTAATAAAAAAACAGGTGTTTATCTGAAGCAAAGGCAAAATACTTATAGAGAATAATTAAAAAAGTCGGCCGTTTATTAGTATTACTTATACAAAAAAATTTACGTGGTTTACTATAGGTTAGATGTGGCATAAGGCTGAAAGTATGGGGCACCCAGTGAGGAGCAAACACACTGTTTAACTGTAAATGATTTAGTGGGACAAGCTTGCTAACTATTGGACTACGTCGAAGTGCCCTATTCAGTAATTCTCTACCTTGAGTGACTATTGGGCCTTGTTTTGGGGGAATGACAGTAATAAAAAAAAAAAGAAAGAAGCAAGAGGTCTTTATTGGAAGCAAAGTCAAAACACTTGTAGAGAATATAATAATTTTTAAAAAATTGGCCATTTATTAGTATACAGAATAACCATAAACTGTGACAGAAAAATAAATAGTTGTCGTCTACACTTGGTGAGTATTTAACATGAGAAGGCAAAGGCTGTTTATATCACTATGAATGAATGAAAAATCACCTTGGTAACACTGGTTTAAAAATGGTATCTTATAAGTATCTCATACTGATGGCTATTATTATATATTACGTCTGTTCAAGTGTAGACACCTGTTGAATACAAGGATTTGATATTTCCAACTACTGAAGAAATAGCTTTGTGGGATGATTTGTAGAGATGGTCTGTCTTTTTAGATCATTCAAGATCTTTCTGCACTAAATGTTGGTATGTAAGGTTGCCAACTCTCCTTTATTTAATTGTTTTCTGTACTTGTCCTTTGTTAAATTGGAAAGGTAAAAAATAACAATGTCACATTCAATTATATTGAGTATAAACAGGAAATAAATTGTAAATTACTGTCTGTTTTTTTATATATATATATATATATATATATATATATATATATATTTCTTTGTCCTTTATTATAACTTGACAAAATTGGCAATTCTTTTGGTGGGTGGAATTGTTTTCTACAAAAAAAAAAAAAAAGACAGAGAGACTTCGTATTGTCAATTTATGCTGGTTCTTGTCCAGAGGAATAGAAATATTGGCATGCATGACTTTAAAACTCAATGACACATCAGTCACCCATATTGAATTCAACAATAAAGTATTGTCTAGTTTGCAACATAAATATACAATAAGCAAAGAGTTTTATCTCTCATTCTTATATAGAGAAAGGGACTGGTCTCTTTCCAGATCGTATGGTGTGCGGGGGTTGAAAGGGACCAGTCTCTTTCCGGATTGTATGGTGTGCGGGGGTTGAAAGGGACCAGTCTCTTTCCGGATTGTATGGTGTGCGGGGGTTGAAAGGGACCAGTCTCTTTCCGGATCGTATGGTGTGCGGGGGTTGAAAGGGACCAGTCTCTTTCCGGATCGTATGGCGTGCGGGGGTTGAAAGGGACCAGTCTCTTTCCGGATCGTATGGTGTGCGGGGGTTGAAAGAGACCAGTCTCTTTCCGGATCGTATGGCGTGCGGGGGTTGAAAGGACCAGTCTCTTTCCGGATCGTATGGTGTGTGGGGGGTTGAAAGGGACCAGTCTCTTTCCGGATCGTATGGTGTGCGAGGGGTTGATCGTATAGGGGAAAGGGACCAGTCTCTTTCCGGATCATATAAGGTGGGGGTAGGGACCAGTCTCTTTCCGGATCATATAGGGGGAGAAGGGTCCAGTCTCTTTCCAGAGCATATGGGGGGACCAGTCTCTTTCTGGAGCATATGGGGGGGGACCAGTCTCTTTCTGGAGCATATGGAGGGGGAAGGGACCAGTCTCTTTTCGGATCATATAGGGGAAATGGATCAGTCTCTTTCTGGGTTGTATAAAGAAAAGAGACCATTTTTCTATTGCACAAAAGAGTTGCATATTACTGTTTCCTGAAATGTACATTGAACAATAAAGGTTTGCAAAACAGATCTACAGTAGCAGGTTTTCTTTTTTGACTAAAATAGTTCCTTTGGAATACAGAGTTATAGAACTTCTCTCTATGTTTGATTCATTCAAATTTCAAAAAACAAAAATTTTTAGAGTATAATTACTTATTCACAATTTTTACATGAATACTCATTTACCCATATATATATATCCTGGTTGTAAAATCATTGCTTCTGAAATTTCTCAAAGTTCTCACTAAAAATTTTATTAAGATTAGTTAAGTGTAAAGGACCATTGTCTTGCTACACTGTGTTGCTGCCATAATGAAAAGGCTTTTTGTGGGCTGGAGTTGCCAGCTCTGTAGTCATCTGATTTTGAATCAAATGTTTACTCCTAGACTGGGCTCTAAACAAGGATAGAAAGCCCAGTTTACACAGCTATTTACACCTAGCTGGTTGGAAAAAGATGAATTTATACCTTTCCTAAGATTATTTATGCAAAAGTGAATGTCATGAACTGAGCCAATCCACCATTCAGCATCAATACCTATTATGCTACAGGATCTCATAAGAGAAAATGCCATATTAATTTTGAGCAAAGAATATTTTGCTTCTAGTGCATTTTATCTAACTAGAATGATCACCGATGGTCACTGGGGGAGAAATACTTGTCTAACTTATTCATAGCCTAGTGGATTAAAGCATTGGTGCATGGAATTGGGGACATAATAATTGTGAATTCAATCCCTGGGCTGGGCAGTGTGTACTTGGACTTAATAGAAATAGGTTGAGCAATAATTAAGCATTACTAAATAAGACCTAGATAAGATATGCCTAGACATGGTCAGATGAATGAGATTAATAGAAGACTACTTGCTGGTATTGTAAGCAACCACTTACAATCTGAAATATGTTTCAGTTTTAAAATGTTGGCTCCCATACAACGTAATGGAGGGTCATAGTGGTATGTCTGCAAGGCCCACATGACCCTCCGGTGGGTCATCTTCCAATTTCTTTTTCTATGAGGATTATTTGGAATGAGATGCTATGTGTGATTGCTTATGGGATCATGGTACATCAGAACCTCAGTTTTTACTAAAAAATTTTAATATTTTTGAATATAGAAAATGAGAGTGCCAATGTAATACCTATATATTGGGAATTTTCCAATGACCCATGGGTAGGTTGTGTGGGACTCTGGGTTGTAAAATGGGCTCAGGTACTGAACAATATAAACTGGTGGGTCAGCAGTAATAAATACTATCTGTGATATCCTTGCCTCGTATATGAAACAAGGTTAAAACAAAGTCACTTGTACCAGAATTAATTAAGATATAGTGCTGAGGGACTGTGGGTCAACAAGGAAGAATGAGGCTTGGAAGCCAATGTGTTAATACTTTGCTTAGCTTTCGGAAGGCACCTTTTGCTATCCTAATTCACCTTCGGATTTCAGGATCACAATTTCTGCACTCAAAACATTTCCCAAATATTTAAATTGTTATTTTTTTTTTTTGTACTTACACAGAGCTGTACCATGCATTTGTGTAGGTTGTGTGGGATTCTGGGTTGTAAAATTGGCTCAGGTGTTGAACAATATAAACTGGTGGGTCATAAATACTATCTATGATATCCTTGGCTCATATAGGAAACAAGGTTAAAACAAAGTCACTTGTACCAAAATTAAGATATAGTGTTGGGACCCTAGGACAACAAGGGAGAACGAGACTGGGACACCAACGTATTAAATAACCTAGAAGTGATCAAGCTGTAAAAACAAATAAACTACCCTCATAGATTAAATAAAAGTTTGAAATTTGCTGAAATCTGCATAGGTCAACAAATACCAAAAATGAAAGACCTAACTGCTGAAATATGAGGACAATAGTCTACGTGTAAATAATGATAACTCTGCATTCTAAAAACTGAGACAAACATTTTTTTTTCTCAACCAAGCCTGTGATTTTGCTTCTAGACATGCAGAACATTGACATATAAATGGCAAACTTAAGTTTTTGAACTTGTTCTTTTCTGAAGATATTTAAATAAAAGAAAACTTACAGCTTTTGACCTTAACAACTGACAGCCAGATTGAAATACTCTTCTACAACAGTGAAATCAAAATATACAGCCATAAGGGGATTTTTTCTAAACAAAAACTGACAAAACTTTCACTCCTGATGCATTTCACCAAAGTTGTAATAGTGGCTGGAAATAAAGTTTCCGAACTGACACACAAAAGATGAAAATTGTTATATTGTCTTCTGTAACTTGTTTTTGCATTGTTATTTATGGAAACAGATATAAAAGGTACATGCTATATGTTCTTCCCAATGTTTTCTATTCTTCTTCAATGTGCCGCATCCATTCAGGATGAAAGCAATCATGGATCTCCCCAATTTGTTATCTTTTGTATATCTTCTTATTGGCTGCAGCTTTATCTTGTATCCAAGAATTTAATTTCTTCTTTGCTGATGAATTAATTTAAAGTTGATGACTAAATTTGCTGCCAACATGCAGGTTCAGGACTAGAAGCTTTCAGTTTCACCAAAACCCACTCCTGTCATCCATTCCCTATCAGCATTTGGCTTTGCAAGAGTTGGTTGGAGAGTAGAAGAAAAATTTCGATGGCGTGAATTTGTTTAAACCGTTCAAGTTTCCTGGGACATGTGTGTCCTATAGATGTTTTCCACATGTCCTACGGGACATAATTGTCCCAAAAACACATTGATATGGGATAAAGAAGACATTTATATGTGTAACAGTTACTGCATCATCATTTTGCTTTAGTGAAAATGCTACCAAATGCACAGTGTTCATATGGCAGTCAAAGAAGGAGGAGTGTTTCAAATTATTGCCTCATTTTAACGTCAGTACATTGTCTGTTCACAGTAAGTGTTACATTTCTAGATGTATTTTTCTGTATATATGTATCATCTAATACTATACAACATAAGAGATGGGAAATACATTCCAATAATGAAAAATATTGCAAAAATATATACTTTTATTTTTTAGTTATGGGACACTAGCGTCCCATCAGCCTTTTAGGAGCACTGAGAATGGGACATATGTGTCCCTGCAGACTTTCATAGTCCTATTTTCACTTTGTTTATTATCCTAATATAGGTATACCTCAACCTATGTCGTTAATTGGTCCCAGAGGTCACGACTTATGTCGAAAAATGACAAGTCAAAATAACCACACTATAAACTGCAAATAAGCACTTCCCATTGTACATTACAGTATTTATTTTTTCTTAGGAGCCATTGGGGCAAAATATAAAGTCACAAATCAATAAAAATGAGAGAGTAGGCGATAAGCAGACATATACCGTGTGTATGCCTAAACTGGATTTCAATTTTGCAGGAATCATGAGTGGCACTGACAACAATGCCAAACAGTAGATATTCGAACTACCATGGAAATTGCCAATATTGTGCTCTTAAAGACCGCTAAATAAGATGACAACACAGAGTCACAGATGTTTTCATATTTCGTTCTGTATGATTTATGATGATTATATTAACATTTACTGTAAATGTACGTATTTTAATGTGATTTTATATACTTTTAGTCTTATTTTTTGTACAGTAACATGATTTTATGTGCTTTTTTTTGTCAAAAATAATATATGGAAAAATAAAAATCAAGTTTAAGTCATTTTATTCAACTTTTTTTGTCAAAAAAATTATACTTCAATAAAGCAGAATGGAAAAATAAAAATTCAAGTTTAAGTCTAATTTTGAGTTCTAAGTTTAATTATCTATGGTTTCTGCTATCATTCCCAAATAAATCAGTCAACTAAAATTTTGTTGTTGCTCATATGTTTGGTCAATGGTATCCTCAGTATCCTCCTGGAGAATGTTTTACTGCCTCAAGTCTTCTCTTCATCTGTTCTCTACCATTCACTGCCACATAAGAGGATTGATATTACATAACAGTTCAGCACTCTTTATTTCTAAGGAAATTTTCCTGTTTCTTAATAATTTGTTACATAGAGATACTTCTGAAAGACATACTAACTCTGAAAGATTTTTTATGTTTCAAAACTAAATCCAGTATCATAATACAGTTATTTAAGATACAGAATACAACCTCATTATCATTCATTAAAGAGGCAGCAATGGAAAATATATATAAATCTGAATAAAATCTAAAAAGTCAGTCAAAAAATTGCCTAGTATTCACTGCCATATAGGAGAACCTATATTATATAACAGTTTCCTTTGTTTCTAAAAATTTTCTTGTTTCTTAACTTTGTTTAGTTTTTAAAATGTTTGTCTTTGTTGTTAATTCATATTCTATCTGTTTGACAGTCTAGTATATCTTCTGGACTATTCAAATATCATTCCCAAATAAATCAACCAACCAACCAACCAAAATTTGGAGAATGTTCGGGTCAACATTCCTGGAGAACTACATTTCTACTGCCTCAAGTCTTCTCTTCATCTGTGAGAAAACAGTCTACCATTCACTGCCACATAAGAATTGATATTACATAACAGTTCAACACTCTTCTTTATTTCTAAGAAAATTTTTGTTTCTTAATATTTTGTTACATAACTTTCAGAAGTATCTTTTTTTTTTTATTTCCCAGCAAGATAACCTGGCAAATTTTCCTGAAGAGAATTTGCAAGTTTTCAAATTTTGACAATCAATCATTTTGTTCATCTCAAAATATGACATTTTACCTTTTCAGTAGAGCATCAAACATTTGGGAAACTCCTAAGCAATAAAAAAGAACTTTTTATGTAGACATTTCTAACAGTCAAGTGTCATCCTTTACTGAAATCTTTAATATGAGCAAACTTGACCTCAGTAACCTACATCTCTGTGTGTCCATATTAAATCATGAGTGAAAAAAAATAGTGACAACTGTAAGAATTATTTAAGATACAGAATACAACCTAAACTTGTTTGCCATTCATTAAAGAGGCACTGAAATGCCATATCTCTAGGGTAAGT